TTTCCCTTTGAGTATTTTGTACTTTTTTACTTTTGCCGTATAGTATTCGGTTGGGTCATCGTTCCCTTTCGGTGCTGCGCACGGACATTCAATCATTCAAACCTGGCCGAGACGAGGGAGTGAGGTTTTATCATTCTATAATTCTCCTTTTAGGGGATGGGGATGGAATAAAATATTTCTGTATTGGATTTATTTTTATAGAACATACCTTTTCAAAAATCGTCTGGTATGGTAAATGAATTATTAATATTATTTGTTTTCTAAAAATAGTTATTAGTCCACAATCATTTAAAAATGTGTATTAAAATTAAGACATTTTATGAGTTTTTTGAAAGGCCACACAAAAAGAGAAATAATATTTTCACTATATTTTATATAATAAGTTATTAATTGATGTTTTGAGAATATAAAAAATAAGAATTAACTAGTTAGTATTGGATTTTGCCTTGATGCAAGTTACATAAACTTAATCTAAGTAAATAATCGACTTAATCAATAAAAAATAAATTAATTTATGAGTCATTAAAAGTATTCGGAGTGAATTTATTAGAAAACGAACGAACACGTTAACTCTGAACAATTTCTAAAAGCAAATTTTCAAAAATCAATAATTTTTATAATTGAATCAGTTTCCGTAGGACTTTAATGGTTTAGTATGTTCATTAAGACCAAGTACTTTATCGCTATACTAAGTAAGTCGTCTAGTTTTAATTTTAACAATCATGAAAAAAACTTCCGCTTTTTTGCTCTTGGTTTATAATACAAAAAGGCGGAAGGGAGATATTTGACAACCAAATATGTATCACCAAAAAAAGTTCCATAAAAATCGAATTAATCTTTTTTTTCAACAGTTAATTACAAGAAAACGGCTTGGTAGATTTAACCAGTATCATTCCCAACTACATAATATCTTTCGAACAGTTTTTGATATTTTTAAATAGTTTCGGTAGTATGAGCTTAAATATAAAGGAGAGTTTAAAACTTTTTTCCAAATTGAGATTTAAGAAAATCTTGTACACATATTCTAGAATAGTTAAATTCTAAAATTATCCGAAAAAACATTCGATAAATTTAAAAATATTAGACTGGGATATCATCCTTATATATGTATCATAGAGTGATATAGAGATATGTTTAATTTATTTACAATTTGGAGTATTGATGATTTAAGATTATCTGATTATTATATAGTTATCTTAAATATTTATTAGCATTTTATTTTTATCACGACTAACATTTTTGACCGTTGCTAGGCAACCGTTGACCGCTAACACAAAAATTTTCAGTAATTTTTTTTTTATTTTTATGAATATTTATGTTATGTTTTAACAGTTTATTTATCAACTATATAAATTTGTATATTTCGCAAAATATTATAATAATTGTAAGACATGTTTATAAATTAATAGAAAATGTGTAGCATGTTGAAACATATTGAAACTAGTACGGACACTTATCGTATAAAATTTGTCAATAAAACATATTGAAGAAGACTGCTTGGTAGGTAACTCAATATGTGTAATTAATATACATGTTTTACATGACATAACATCCGACATGATTTAAAAAAGAAAACAATAAAATACGACAACAGAAACATTGCCCTGGGCTATAACATAATATCAAGCAATGAGTCTTCTGTCTTATATAGACTAGAACCCGTACCTGAACAGAAGTATCCAGGTGTGAAATTACAGCCGAGCGAAATAAAAATAAAATAAAATTGAGACGTTACAAAAAATAAAACGAAAAACACAAAAAATAAACTGTGTCGTAAAACTTTTCAAAGAGAACCCTGCGTTGTTATGTCTATAGGATATTAAAGAACAATATAAATTTACTATAGGGCAACCCGAGTCTAAAGTTTAAACTGTTTGAGAATTATTGCTCATTGTTTTGTGTGAGAGAAAATTACTTAAAACACATGTACGTGCTAAATCACATATAGGCTTGAGCTTTGTCATATGTTATTTAATACTTGCTTAAAGAGTACCTCGACAGAAAATGATGTCAAAATTAAATATTAATTTTTTTATTGTTGTCAATTTAATTCAATATTAAATAAACAATTTATGAACGAGATTTTATTCTCAAACTTATAAAGTTGAATAGACAACATCGTAATTGCTTTTTGTCCAGAAATTATTCGTTTAATTTTGTTATTCTACAAAATCTTTAATCTTAATAATATTCATTTAGAAACGTTTAATTTAGATATTATTTAGATAATATTAGAACCCAGTATTGCAAATAAGTTTAAAGTATAAACTTTATTCTAAACAAACAATTTCAATTACCTTCAGAAAATCGATAAGCAATAGTTCTGTGTTTCCACGAAATATATTTCACAGCTTGCAAAAAGTTGAAACCAGGGCTTTATAAATTTTTACAGAATACTTATAAATATCGTATATTTCATTTAAAATTTTAGAATTTTATCGATTTCAGTCTATCAAATTAATAATGACAAATTTTGCTTTAATTCGTAACTGCATTTACTAAATTTTAGTTTAATGGAAAATTAAATTTGAACTAATTACGATCAACTACTAATTGCTTGACTTAATGAAACAATATTAAGCATTTAGAAGTTTTCAATTGACCAAATTTTAATAATATGAACATTAAATTAAATTAAATTAAATTGAACGAATTAATAAAGTCAAAAAAGAAATATTATAAATATGTATTAAAACTAAAGACTATGTTGTTTTAATGGTTTACTCTATGATATGTGGCATCATCTATATTATCTTATTGTTAGTAACTATTGAAATAAACGAACAGTTCTGTGCTGATCTTTGTTTGAACACGTTTTATTATTTATTTTAGTAAGGCAGAAACTGGATATTTTTGGCATATAATTAAAAAGAATATATTGAAATCAATGTTGAAAAGGCAGATTAATGCAGAAAAATCAACCTATTCATTGTAAAAATTATTAAACAAATAAATATAGTAAAAAATAAAATCTATCAATGTTAAAGCAACTTATTACACAAAGCATACAATAATAATAAATACATCAATTTTAACATTTATATATAAGTCTTAAAAAATCAATTCCTTGGCCAGTCCTGAAGCAAACGATGCACGAATACAGCAGGTGCTATTTTATTATGCGCCTCCACCGCAAAAGCAAGTCTGCTGTTCGCCGAACGATACTCTAACGCGATTCTGTTACCCTGTTACGTGACGCAGACACGCCGCAACCGTGTTACCCAAACGCCGGACGTTTTGTCGATGGGATATTGCCCGCAATAGACGAAGGGCTCAAGAAAACTTAGCCTTGATATCTATATGAACATTTCTACTTAAGAATACCAAAATCTATCAAAATCAATAAATATCACATTGACCAGTTAACTATGATTGATGAATATACTCGTCATGGATAAGTGGCAGAGATTTGAGCATTGACGAGTATTCTCGTCATGCGTATAAAACAGTAACCATTTGCTACCTCAATTGAAATTTGAAAAAAAAACAAAATATGTTCTAAAATTTCAAGTTTTTCATAATATTTTGAAGCTATGGCAGTCTAAAATAAGTAGTTGCAAGTGGTGTTTCACCTTAAGACCAATAACAATTAAGAATTAGCTATTTAAATCACATTTCCTACTGTTTATTTTAAAAATAGTTTTTGCTTTTTATCAAATACTATTAGAAATTTCTTACATTACCATACTGAATTTAATTAATTTTTAGTGTAATATGCATGTAATATATGCATATTTTATCAAATAAGTAAAATATGTATATTTTGTCAATACCTTACCAGAGCAACTTACTCTATGATTGACGAATATACTCGTCATAAGCTTAATACGGACGATACAAAATTGTGCGTACTGTTCAATGTAAGCGACACAGTTAACTGGTTAATTGATGGTTTGTTTGAAAAATAGCGAACAAACATTAGTGTTTATTGCAATGTAGAACATTTTCTGAACTTTCAAAACCAATAAATATCCCAATTATAGATAGGTACATTATTACTTGTTACAAATATTATTGTTTTGTAATTCATTTTAATTCTAACTAATCTGACCATATTCAAAACCTAAATGCATAATTATATTACATCGTTGACTTATTCATTTATTAACACTAATTATACTAACCGCCTCTATACACGTATGGTTTTTAATTATAACATTCTATAAAACCTACCTTTGTCATGATCATCTATCGACAGTGATCTTATGTATGTCCATACTATCATCCATACCAACATTCACACAATACAACAGCCCCATCTATTCATAGGTAACAATCGAAACAGTCCACATAATAAAAATTCAGTTTTTATCAGCAATCTCGCCCATGATCTCCAACTATATCATTCTACATTAACTACCCTTATCGTTATCATGTATTTACAGTAATCTTATATAGGTATGGAACTATATATCATTCATACAACAGCGTCATTTAATCATAGCTAACAATCAAAACAGTCTACATAAGGAAAATTTAGTTTTTCCGCCCCATTGATTCATTTTAATTTCTCGGTAGAAGTTATAAATGAGTAATAATAACTCTGAGAGCTATCTCTTCTTTCAAAAATAAAAAAATTACTCAGAAAAATATTCTCGATTAGAATTTGTTAAAAAAATGTTTGTGTGCTCTCAGTCTATTTGAATTGGGTGGTCAGTTGTTACTCAGAAGAGTTGTTGGAAGCAGAAACAAGAAAATGAGTTTGTGTTATAAACAGTTGTCCTAGTCGGTCCAGCTGTTGCAAACGCATGTATTATTTTATAAAACAATCGTAATTAATTATTCCAATCTAATCCATCATTTTATTATAAAGAACATCTTCAATTTTCCCTATGCAAGAGGTTTGACTTATTTTTGTATAGTTGAAATGAACACTCATCATAAGTAAATAGCGAAAAAGAAATATAGTTATTATGCAAAATTGGATAAGTGAACTAAAACCATAATTTTCGGCAGTTATTCCTCCTTAGTATTTATTATTATTAACAAATATTTCTTACCTCCTGGCATCCCTTGGCGTGCTGTTTTGGGCTCAAGAAGAAAGTCCCATCGACCAATGGATAGCGATCAAACACAGGCATGATATCGTCGCAAAGCACGCAAGAAACTCTGGACCTTTGCTGTGCTGCCAAAGTAGATAATATGAAGCATCGTGTGTCATCATTGCCATGGTTTCCCTCGTCCTCCATCTACCGAACAAAGAGTTGGAAGTACGCGTTAGAAAAAATTTAAAAAAATTACAACGATTTTTTTATATTTCTTTTGTGTTTTTTCCCGATAAAAATGATATTATAAAATTTTGAACGCGTCGCGGTTTTAAGTGAACTAAAAGCGAGCGGTAAAATTATATAATATAATTTTATAAATTAGGTTTAACACATTAGAAAGGTGATAAGAAAACTGGCATCATGAAGCATTGCATATTTTAATAGAAAACTTAAGCTAACAATTTATTTTTTGCATGGTCATCCTAATGTTTAATCTTAAGTAGATAAATGCAACGTATAATAATAAAGTAAATTGACCAACTATTCAATCCAAAAGTAAATAGCTTATTGCAAATATTCATCCTTTATTGCGAATCCTATTATCCTCCCAAAAAATAAGCAATGTCTAGTTGCAAAATCTGCGTAAATACGGATTATAGAAAGTTCCTGAATTCCTTCTATCTATGGAGTAATAATTTATGCATGTAATCCGTCCTTTTCAGGAAAAGTTTTAATATTGTGAATTTTTTTGCCATATTTTTAAAATTAAACAACATCAATATCAACGTCAATATCAACATCAACATCAGTAAACAATTTAATATGAAAATTTAAAGTCTAGTCTAGATGATTTGATTTTATAGCTCAAATAATTTTAATTGAAATATAAGCTTGATCATCAGTTTAGGAACTTCAATTTAAGTGAAGCATTTTATATATCAAGGGTTTAACACATTTATAAAATAAAATTATTCATCTATTGTCTATATCACTTTCCCAATAATTACAGATCACAGTAGTATTTAAAAATGCAGTAATTAATGTCTAAAAGGAGTAAAATGGTAAAGGTAACATTCAGACGTAATTAACGCCTAAACAACTTATCACAAGCATATTTTATACATTTTTTTTTTTAAATAAATGAATATAACACTAAATCATCGCTTGCAGTTACACATATAAGATTTATTTTAGCATATACTCATTTTTTTAAACAGTTTGAAATCGCCAAACGAATTAAACGAATTATTAATTAATTAAATGATTAAACGAATGATTAAAAAGATTTAATTTTAATAATTTTAATAATTTAAACATGATTTGTCTAACATCCTCGCTAGTATGTGCATCAGAATTTGCATGTTTTAATTGAAAAATATGAGTATAAAATAAAATAGATAACTAAAAACAATTAGTTTTCATTTTTAAACAAAATTATATGAACGATAGTCTAATTTGTTATAACCATGCTTTGAGGTTATTATAACTATCATTGATCTTTCCTAAAAACTTCAAATTTTCATTTATCTATTATTTTTAATTTTTAACCTTTTTGCATGGACGAATGTCGTCCATGGATGACGTCCAAATGATTTGCTGTGTGTACGAGTGTCGTCTATGGACGACGATTTGTGTTTAATTTATCACTATGAGAGTAAACCATTAAGAATTCTGTTTATTTGTAATTTAGTTTACTAGTTTATTAGTTTTATTATATTTATTGTAATTTCTACAATTCTATTTATTGTAATTTTTAGCCCATTAGAAGCGTAATGGCTGATTTAAAACATTTTTATTGATAATGATAGAAATATTTTAAAATATATAGTTGTGCCTGGTGTGTCCAATGGCACTACTAGTGGACGACGCTGTTCCGTACAGCAGCGACACTTTTGCACGACACTTTCGTAGCAAAAAGGTTAATTTTCAGAAATATTTTGCAAACCATTGAATATTTGAGTACAAACAGTATCGTGAAATTTAGCAAAAAACAATAACTAATATTATTAATATCTGTGGTAATAAAATTTTTATCATTACTTTTGTGCAATCTTAAAAATCAATGTATGTATGTAATGTAAATTTATAATGCAAATGATCCACGAACCAATGTTGATATACATCAACTATTCTCAACTACTATCAACTTCTCTGATAGTATTTCCGAGAGCATTGAAGAAAACAATGAAATCTCTATAAAAACTTTCCATCTTCTCAAATAATAAAATTTATCGTAAATTTATTCAAAATGCATCAAAACCCCCACGGCCATGAGTTGCACAAGCAGACGTCGTAAAATCGAGTCCTCCAACGCATCCCATTTGCGTCTGGAGTCCGCGCCACACGGAAGCTATAATCCGGACTAAACTCCGGGCACGTCTGCACAACCAATGGACCGTCGTTCTTGATATTATGATACAGCCTCTTATATTATAACATGGTTGACAGTTCGTAATAGCCGATAAAAAGTTTACGACGCCCAAGCAGCCAGTTTCGATAAAATTATACGTAATAATTTACTTTTTCCACACACATGAATAGTACAATACTTGTATTGACAAGCGCTTTCTACAACACAAATATAAGTTTATAGTGTTTTCAATATTATACGATTTTATTCACTAATCTTTTTTTTTAATCTATCACATTCAATCTTGCATAGATCACTCTTATTTAATAATATTTAAATTTGTTGTTTTAAAATCTTGAAATTGAATATTCGTTATTGAGACTACATTGCTCCTTTCTATCAATAATTATTTTGAATTCATCAGTGTTAAAAAATTAATGAATACACCAAAACTCTATAAAATGTTTTAATAAATTAATATTTTTTTTAAAAAATTTAACTTTGAAAAATGTAGTAGATGTTTTAGCTTTGTTTACCATCACGGAATATTTGTATTTGTTTTTAAACATTTTTCCTCATAATTTCGAACAACTTGATTTCTTTCTGATAAAGATATTTTATGTATCAAGATGAATCACCGCTTTATAGCTTTATCAATATTTGATAATAGTGATTTGATTCACTATACTTTTTTATCACTTAATTATATAATAATTGATCACATTCAACATCTTAAACAACATATTTAAATTTGTTCCTTGAAGATTCTGATGAATTGAATTTAGGTGTTGAACTTCAAACTTCGATATTGATATTACGTTGCTTCATTTCATCAATATTTATTGAATAGTTCACATTAATGAGAGTGAAAAAAATAATTAATACAGCAAATATCTATAAAATGTTAAATATTTTATTCAATTTAACTTATAAAATATTGTATATGATTCAACTGTGTTTACTGTTGCTTGATTTGCTTCTTTAAATATAAAAACGAAAAGTTAATATCTAATGCATCTTTGTATTTGCTTTTATACATTTTTCTTTTAATTTCGTATGACTATTTTTTCTTATACATCTATTTCATGTATCAAGCACATAATTATGTTTGTAATTGAAATAATATTTTCTTTCAAGCCAATTCCAAATATTGATTTGTTGTTTTCATTATGGAAACTATTCTTTGTTCAAATCAATCACATAATGAAATAGATATTACACATTGTTCGTCTTGATTCACTATAGTTTAGTTTAACATTTCCGTATCAGTTCGAAAATTTTCATTAAGCTAGTTCATGTATCAAGCTTTTAATTAATTATGTGTGTGATTGATCTTAAATTTCCATTCGATCTCCAAATACATGAAACATCGATTGTAGAATCATTATAGATAAGAAGTTTTTCATTATGGAAACTATTCTTATGTTCCTATGCTTAACTCAATCATATAAAAAAGTGTTATGAACTTTTTATTTCATTGTTGATAAAATATGATATTTATATAATGATAAATATTTTGTTTTTGTTTAACCTTTAAGAGTATTATAAATTGTTCATCTTGGTTTACTGTAGTTTAATTTTGTATTTTCAAAATTAATTATAAACAGTAATAACTATAAAATATATTTCCGTATCATTTCGAACAATTGTATTTATTCCTAATTAAACTATTTTATGTACAAAACTTTTCAATAAGTATATTTGTAATTGAAATAAAATTTCCATTCATTCTTCAAATACGTGAAACGTTGATTGTGGAATAGTTATTCACAAGAATTTTCCATTAGGAAAACTATTCTTAGATCTCTATGCTTAACTCCACACAATAAAAGTATTATCAATTTTTAGTTCATTATCTTTTAGTACTTAATCTAACATTGCTCACTGATAAAAATTTCCATTGGATTTCATTATGCTAAGTACTTTTGACAAAAGCCAAAAAAACAATCAATATCATACCAATATATTTATATTGGTCTCCTCAAACTTCATTGGGAAATAAAAATATGAAACTATTTGATTTCGAATGTGCGAAATCATGTTCAATTTGAATATTTTCTTATTATTATAAATCTGTTCTATAAATCTCTTATATTTTTGACCGACAATTGGCAAATCCATTAATAAGAAATCCGAGTAAACCCTGAGCAATTCATCATTTTCGGTAACTCCCCAAATATGTCAAATGTATGATACATGGAAGAGCTCGCTTATTAACAAGGAAATCCACATGTCAATCTCGGCTTCAGAGGGATTTATCCTGATAACGAATTTCCTGCATCTTTTCCTATCATTCCATTACCACAGCCCTTAACGATAAAGTTCATTACTTATGATATTAATCGTCAATGTTGTAATAAATAGTTATTGATTTTAATCGGTCATCAAGAATATAAAATTCTTCAAATTATTAGTATGACCAATATGGAATATATGTTAAGATTTATAGAGTTATAAATAGCAATATAAATTATAAATTATAAGGCTATACTTTCTTTTGTCAAAAAAGTCAAAAATTGTCATATTGCAGCATCATTCATATAATGATTTATTTTTTTCGATTTCAGTATTTTTATACACAAGTTATCAAGAATCCTTAAATATTTTTTTTCTCAATTAAATATTCTGGAACTTGAATTCTAAACATCCGGTTCTATGTATTTCGCTAATACAACATTTCATTCAAAAATTGAACCAAACGATTCAAATTTATTGAGGAAATATATTTCTTATACATGATTGCGTCTTGCTTACTTAATTTAGGTTTTGATAAAATTTCAAATTGAATTCTCGCCCTGGACAAATATTTTTTAATATTTTTAATATGTAACTTGATGTAGTCTACATTACT